AGCAGTTAGCGTAATGGCTATGTCGCTGGACTCCCATGTAGTCAACCGCAGTTCGCGTCCCGGATTCCATGGCTTAGAACTCACGCCAGGCGCGTGTGCGTGCGTGTCCAAGATCCCGAGAGGAGAATGGAGGAGAAGGGATTGCGGTGTGACCATCCCTCCTGGGGGGTGATTTCTCGCCTTCTGTCTCTCTGTCTCTCTCTGTCTGTCCGGCGAGTGCATGCGCCCTATAGTAAAAACCTCTCCAAAAAAAAAAATTTTTTTTAAATAAGTAAATAATGGAGCCAACAGATAGCATAATGGTTATATCACTGGACTGCCACATGACCCAGAGCAGTTCAGGGCCCGTTCCCTGCAGCTTGAAACTCACACCAGGAGCATGTGCGTGCATGCCCAAAATCTCGAAAGGAGAATGGAAGAGAAGAGATTGTGGCATGGCCATCCCCCCTGGGTGGGGGGGTGATTTCTCGCTTTCTATCTCTCTGTCTCCCTCTGTCTCTCTGGTGAGTGCACACACCCTATACCAAAAATCTCTCTAAAAAATGAATAAATAAAATAATAAGCACACAGAGATAATCAAAATAAAATATGCTAACAGTGGCATAACAGTGCCTTGGAGAAATGGGATGAAGGATGATCCCTCTCCTGTCCCCCACAAATGTTAAACCTTTGGGAGGATCTTCCTAGAAAAGCCTAAAAATACCTAGAACTGTAAATATATTTCAGCTGAGGGGGAATGAGACGACTTGGCTATTTAACGCCTACGCAATAGCAACAAACTCAGGAATCTGAGCCACCACTCCAGGCTTCTATAAAATTGCAATCAGCCTATCATTGCAAAGCCATCGCCAACTCCAGAATGAAAACCTCCCAGGATGTGGTCTGCATCGACCAGATTGTTTAACTGACATCACACAAGTCAAGCCAAGCCGACACTTTGGGTAAGATATAGAGGCCAAACGATATATAAACCACGTTTCCGTTTGCCAAGACCTTTCCGAGACAACAGTTCATTTGATACTCACTAGCAACCAGTAAGGCAGATAAAGAGAGGAGCCATCACAATGCTCATTGTACAGGTGAGGAAAGAAAGGCAGGGGAAACCACATTCTTTAAGGGACTGGGTCTCTTCTTCACTCTTCTTCTTCCAGGGTTATAACTTTAAAAAAAAAAAAAAAAGGTTTCCTAATAGTAAGAGAGGAAGAGAGGGCTGGGTCAGCAGGTGGAGTGGTGGTTAAGGTGCTGGCCTCCCACATGGCCCACCGCAGTTCCCATCAGAGACCTCAAGCTGGACCTGTGTGGGTGCCCAGGAGGAGAGGGGACTTAGGAGTGGTCGTCCCCCCTGGGGAGTGGCTTCTCACTTTCCCTCTGTTTCTCTCAAATCAGCAGCCTATGGAAAAAAAAAAAAAGGGGGCTTCAGAACTCAGCCACAGTGAAGCCCTGGCTGACACTCCTGCCAGGCAGGCTGAGACCTGAGGCCATGTGGGGAGCATGAGTTCCAATCCCAGTCCATGCTTTTGAAAGTCAGGTGTAGGTGTAGTGGAGACCTTCTAATCTCAGCTACCTGAGAGACTGAGACAGGAAAATAGTAACATGATGAGAACTATATGAGAAAGCACATAGTGTCTTTAAAAAAAAACAATTTAAAAGAACAGCTTCAGAATTGCACAGTTCTGACTCAACCGCAAAGCCCAACACATTGGAGTGACTTTTTCATCCTCACCTCTCAGACATGCTCATCGATAAACACAGGAATAAAATCGTACAGCTGATAAGGTACTGTAAGAATTAAATGATCTGAGTCTTTAGACCATTGTCTGCCCTAAAATTGGCAATAATAAGTAGCACATTCTTTCTTGCAAGAGTAAAGTGTCTCCAGCCTACTAACTCCAAATTCAACGAGGGCCCCGTGAGGCACACCAAATTCATTCTCCTGCCTGCTTTCAGCAGCTCACCAAATCTTTACCAATTACTGGAGTAAGTGCCCTGAAATGATTAGCAATTAGTTTTAAGCAGTGACAGTGTTAATTCATTATTTTCATTTGTTTTAAAGCATTTCTCTACTCTCTCAATTAAATTTCGATGTCAGGGGCAAACCAATCTTTAAAAAGAAACATTTATTGTTTATGTCTCTTGCATCCTCTCACTCAACTATTCAAACATCCAAATAGTTTGCTTAATTCACTTCCCTCGCTCCCCCATGGGGATGGAATACAGCCATTTTTCCTATTTTTTATTTCCTCTTTAAATTTGACCAAGAAATTCCTAGCTCCGAAGAGTACTTTTTCAAAACATCCACTGACTATGCTATTAGGTGGGTGTACAGTACAGCCGGGAAGCTACCTGGCCAAATCTGAGCCCAGATTTAATAAAGCTTATCTTTAGCATCTAAAGGAGGAGCCAGGAGGCTGGATGAGAGCCCACAGTGCCCAAGGAGAGAGCATTTCTCATCTCACCAGCCCCAGGACCTTTTCCACCCACTCCTTGCCGGAGATTTGTGCCCACAGTCTGCTAGAGAAAAACTAATAAACCCAAAGGTCGAGAAACCAGAGAACTTAAGGGTCTACGTAAGTAAGCCAAGATGTGAAAAACCACCCTTTCTGGTTCTTGTAATATATACAGTTTCAAATGCTGCTACTAAGAGAAGTTTAAGGAAATTGTTCTACTAGAAAAGAAGTGAAAGAGACATTGCCACTACCCATGGTGAAGCTACCTACTTCTCTCCTTCACGACTTCTGATAACCACGTGTTAACAATGTGATTATGTCCTAAACTCCCTATCGTACAATCTCAGCAAGATAGTTGGAGGTGGATTTATGTCTTCTTTTTCTCTCTGAGGAGCAGCAGGGTGCAGTGGAAAGGGAATGAACTTTGGAATGAAGCAAGCTAGATCATCCCAGATAAAGATTCCTATAAAGATACACACACGTGCGCACACACACACACGTGCGCACACACACCAGCAAAAATACACCTGCTAGCGGGTCCACCTCTCTGACTGCACGCTGAATAATCCACTGCCCATGTGCTGTTAGGCTAGTGGTTTAACTCCTCTGGACCTTACTTGCCTCACTGAAAATAAGTACTTCGCAGAGTTATAAGAAATGAGTTTTTGGGACCAGCAGTTAGCGTAATGGCTGTGTCAGTGAACTCCCAGGTAGCCGACCGCGGTTCGAGTCCCAGATCTGGTGACTTGAACTCATGCCGGGCACGTGTGCATGCGTGCCCAAGATCCCAAGAGGAGAATGGAGGAGAAGGGCTTGCAGCGTGGCCATCTCCCCTGGGGGGTGATTTCTCGCTCTCTGTCTCTCTCTGTCTTTCTGGCGAGTGCACGAAAACCTCTCCGAAAAAAAAGAAAAAAGTTTTTAAATGCACATGAATTGCCCAGCCCAAATCTTGGCACCTAGCAGACCTGTAATATTACTTCCCTTAGATTCCAAAGGGATGAGACGTTAGCTAGTCAGGGCATCTACTCTTCATATAAGTCTCAAGACACCCTGGAAATGTGTACACTGTACCCTTCCCATGTTAGATACTGCCTTCTTCTTAAGCATTACATTTCATCAAAAATATTGCTGTGCAGTAGATGAGACCTTTTTTCACGCACAGGAGACCTGTCGGTTGCTCAAATCTACTCTAGGATGGATTTCTCCCGCTGAAGCCTGATTATATTCATCGTTCACCGCATTTTTAACAATCAGACACCCAGGATAAACTCTGTTCCGGATTCTGGAGCAACTGACTCTAGCCCTCTAAATACTCGTCTACAACTCCGGGTTCAACTTGAGCCTGATTCTGCACCAGTCAGATACACCAGGCAAACGCAGGCTGAGAACCAAAATCTCCCATCCAATAAAACACGTCACCAGCTGCCATGTCCCCAGGGTGCCGGCTGAAGGAAATTTGGGTGTACTAATAAAGACTCAAGAGACATAGTCTCCATCCGTTCCCTTTCTACCCTCTTCTGGTTTCTATGAAAATGTGAATGAGCAGATGTAAGCGCTGTAAGCGATGGGAAGGATCTCAGGGGTCAACTCGGGAGTTAAGCGCAGTGTACACGTTTTTACGGGAGATACTTCTGGAAGGCTTCCAATTGCTTATTATTTGGCTTGAAGAGGAGTTACCCCTGAAGACAAGCTGGGAAGAGCTTGCTGACGTAAGATTCCAGGCTGTGGTAACCCCAAATGGCCAAGAAGGTATAAGTTTATTATTATTTTTTAAACGACTGTAGCGAGGTGGCAATTAAGAGGGGGAACGTGGTAAGGAATCCCTAGTGTCTGCAGGTATAAAAACAAGAGTGTAAGAGCTTCTGCAAGAGCTTAAAGAGATTTAAAAACTGCTCTGAAGTTCATCGTTGGGGACACATAGGCTTCCTGTCCTGACCACAGAAGGTTGCTTTTGTGATGACACAAATCGACCTAAAGAAAAAAAACGCTCCCTCCCTTTTTCGGACCCTGATTTGTCCCGGATATGTGGTAAGAAATCTGGAATCCCTGACCTGTTACAAGAATTCCTCCAGCACTAAAATAAATGAGAACTTGGAGGAAAATGTGTACTCCTCAAGGTTTCAAGATCTTTTTAAAAGGAAGAGAGGCGGCGACCGAGCACCGGGTCCCCAGTGTCACGATCTTCCTCTCGCCAGGCCTTTGAGGCCAAGGGCTGTGGAAACAGGGTCCAAGAGGTTCCGAGGCGCGCGGCCACGGAGGAAGCGCACCCGGGGAAAACGACTCCAGGTCGGGTCCCTGCACCTTAAAAGCTCAAAGATGGGGAGACCAGAGAGGGGCGAAGACCCGAGCCCGGCGGGCGGGAAGGGAGGTACCGAGCCGCTGCCACGCGCCGCGCCCTGCCCGGGCCACCCCGGGACAGCCAGATGTTCAGCGCCGGGATCCCGCGGCGGTGCCAGGACGTGGACAGCTCGGGGCGCAGCGAGTCCTGACCTCGCCTCCTCCGGCGCACCCCGGACCTTGCTCAACACCCTGCGGGCCCTACCGGGCACTCACCCGGGGCCACCAGCAGCGAGCTCACAGCGCCTCCCACGAAGACAGCAGCGGCGAGGGCGGCGGACCCCGGGAGTCCCCGCGGAGCCATCGCGCGTCCCTACGCCCTCCTCCCCGGGACGCCGGTCCCGCGATCCGGCACGGAGTCCAGCCCCGGAGCCGGCGGGCCGATCTAATGGCA